TTTATCATTTTGTTATTTCTTTATCCATCGAATTTAATTAACCGGCCTACACAAACACACACACACACACACACACACACACACACACACACACACACACACACATATATATATATATATATATATATATATATATATAAAACAACGCGGCATGAATACCCAAAATATTATCTATAAAAATAAAAAAGCAAACTACTTCAAACCAAAAGCATACAGCCATGATGATGGTTGACGACAACCGAAAAAATACTTGCAAAAACACCAAGGGCTTTCAACAATTTAGATCCAAAAACAAAGACACAAGCGAGAAAGCAAGATACAATCGAAATAAAGATTATTAAATGGAAAAGTCCGATAGTCTTTAATAACACATGCTTCAATAAATATATATATATATATATATATATATATATATATATATATATATATATACATAATACCTTACATTGATTGGACAATTCTCATGCCGACGCAATATTCAAGTGCTGGTATTTGGGGTGGGGGTAACACCGGTTTTTTTTAATATTTCTAGTTATCGCGAGATACTTTTTTGTTCGGGGCGGGGGATTATTATTGTTAAAATATTTAAATGAATTGTAGTTTAATTTTGTATTTGAATTTAGGCCCAGAATAATAATTGAAAATAAGTTTAGAAATAAGAATTATAAATTCTAATTTAAAGAGACACTGTTGTCATAAAAAAGTAATAAACAAGAAAAGACGTTTGGAAGTAAAAGAGGTAACTCTATTTTCTTCATGAAAATCAATAAAGTAATTAATAATATTATAAATATTAATATCAGTAAACTAAATAAAAGTAGTGATATCAATAATAACAAAATAAACCGTGATAAAATGAAATTAAAGTACTAATAAAAATAATACCAATAAGACCAATGAAGATAAAATAAAATAGAATAAGATAAAATAAAAGCCATATGGCTTTTATTTTATCTTATAATACGAACATATATAAATAAATAAAGCAAATAAATAAATTATTAAATAAAAATAATAGACGCAGTAGATAAGTAAATAAACTAACACATTTCTAATAGTAAGACTGAAGGTAAAAGAAAAAGACAAAAACAAAACAATAGTTATATATTAAAAATAGTAATGATAACATAATGGAAAAATGGATGAGCAAAAATGTTAAATGCATTACAGTCTAATATTAACAATACTTGCATAGTAAATGTAGTAAAAAGTAAAAATATCAATAAAAATAAATAATATCAATACTAGTATATGTGGCCCCCGGGTCAGGCTAGACTATATTAATCTGGGTCAACGCGTTTGAGTAGAAACTTGGTTCTACGTAGGCAGTTTCTCATTAACTCACTTCTTTTGTTTAACAGATAAGGATTGGTTATATTTTTCAAGATTATTAATTTTTCAGAAAAACATAAGTTACATCTATGGATTTCCCGCTGAAGGTTTTAGCTTTCGTTACTGATTCCCAGGTGATAATTATATATATACATAGATATGCATGTGAATATATGACTTCCAGTATATTCAAAGTAACTATACACAAGAAGTGTAAATATCATACGTACACCTATGATTCACGTATTCATGAAGACATACATCCATCCTATATAAAAGAAATAACAAAATATACAAAATGCATATTACTAATATTATATTAGTATCTGTCTATATTTCTGAGATTATTGAGCATTGTAATTATTTACGGTATTTACATTGTTGAGCATTGTAATTATTTACGGTATTTACATTGTTCGGTCTATTGTCCTCATCTATATTGCCATTTTCACGACGTTTCGGCAGTTGTTCGCTCCGGCCTTCTTCAGGTGATTGGAATTTCGGACTGAACGCTTTATCCCGTCCACCGGAGTAGACTGCTCTAGTTCCACATGCATTTTCCGGATGTCTTAATTATCTCTCTTTAACTCAACTCTCCAGATTTTTGTTCACCAATGTAGGAGCCAAGTATTTAACTCAACTCTTTGTCAGTACAGGACCAATAGCATTGTAGATTTTTCTTTGTATTTTATCAAGAATCTCTAAATATATCACAGAAGCAACAAACCATATGTGGCAGCAATATTCGAACTATGGACGAATGAAAGACTTATAAATATGTAAGACAGATTCTGAAGAGAAAATTGTCTAGCAGAATCTAATGAACCAATTTTACTAGCAGCTGATCTAGCGATTGATTCAATATAATATTTCCACTTCATGTCAGTGAAGAACATTAACCAAAGTGTATCAATTTTCTGGCGGTTAGCATCAGCCATGATGATGGAGACAGAAAGTTTTTTTCGGATGATTAACAGAAAGCAGTTTTGTTTTGAAGGCGTTCAAATAAACAAGCCATTCCTTTCCCCAGTTAACAGTAGATTTTAGGTCACTTTAGAGGTCATCTGCCTGTTTTGCGATATCGAACCGATCAGACTTACCATTGATATATATATATATATATATATATATATATATATAGATATATAGATAGATAATATTAGTGGTCAAAAGAGATGGCAAGACAGGACCATATTTTTGTCAGAGAGTAGGTCATAAGAGGTATGTTGCTTAACCACTTTAACATTGATTAAAGCCTCGAATACAAAAACCGGTAGGAGACTAATATGGCGATAGAGGGGCCAGAAGTTTCCCCGGAGTTCTTAAAAACAGGAACTACTGAGGAGGAAGGAACTGGAGCCACCTCAGGAGAACATTTCTTGCCTTATGTGAGTCTAATTTAGAAATGATTCCCGAGATCAGTGACGCGGTTATGCTCATATCACTTAGTATAGTTTCAATTCTAGGGGAAAATCAGGTGCGGATACTCCAAATGACTTGGGAGAGAATTTCCGAGCAAAGCATTCAACCTTACCTGCTGTATATGTCAGGACTTCGAATTTATTGAATAGAGGCGGGATTGATAATTTGCTGTTGTTCAGCATGCTCTTGCAGAGCCGTCAATAATCTCTCGAACCGAACTTTTTCATTCTATCAGCGAATAGTAACTTTGCTTCTTTGAGGACACGCTTGCACTCATTACGAGCAGACAAAGAGACGTCTGTTGTAATCAGAAGTGTTGCTCTGGTACTATCGGAAGAAATGATTCCTCTGGGCTATAGCGGCCGAGCATATACGTGAGAACCAAGGAGCTGAACGTGATTTAACTTGGCGTTTCCTTGTAAGCATTGATGCCGGCTTTCACCTAGGAGGAGACCTCAGACGTGCATTTTTTAACAGGATGATTAAAAACTTCATTTCAAGGGACGTCATCAGATATGTTACCACCATATACATATATCACAGAAATTTCACGGCAGCACCACTTTTAAGGCCTGAGAATATGTAAGGAACCAAGAACCCCTTCCTAAACAAGAAACAAGGTATAAGCTTTTACACCTGTTCAAGAGAACTGGGAGTAGTATGGACCGGTCGATAGAAAAGTTATATTCCTATTAAAAAAAAGTTGCTCACTTTTAATTTAGTTAAAGCCGAAATATCCATTAGAAATTCAAACAAGAATAAAAAATGGTAGAGATCTACCTCTGAAAGTACTTTAACAGTCCTGGGTTTGACTTCCAGTTATTTCAAAGAATATATATTCAGATAACTTATTTGGAAAGTCGATCTGCAGCCCACAGAAGTTTTTGACCATGCGATGTTTAACTGACATTCTAGTATATTAAGGGAAGAGGGGCTAATAGGTAGTAGGAGGTGTCTGTCCTAGAATCACGAGTGAATATATATATATATATATATATATATATATATATATATATATATATAAGGCATGATTTCAAGCAGTTATTCTTTAAACAAATTTCTTGCAACTGCATTAGAAATTACTTAGTTGGAAGATACTTAGGCTGGAAGTTGAGATTGAAGATTGAAGCAAGGAAAAAAAAAGTTTCTTTTTCTTTTTGTTTTCTTCTCTGTCACTGACACTTGTGGGAAATGGAATTCACACCATATGTTACATCCACATTTTCTTTATAAAATAAAGATATTTTAGAAATAAACTCTATCTCATCTGATTTGTTACACACGCTAAATTTAGTTCAACATGTCCTCATAAGGCAAAGAACTTACAGTGTGCCGAAAAACTAGTTTCTTGTAGAGACGAGTTTTTGTTTTCTTTCATTTTAAGAATGAATTTAGCATTAGAGATATATGACTGAAAACTAAGTTAAATAAATCAATCTTTCCACATAAACACCCTTTTAAAGTGACAGCTGATCCTTTTCTCTCTCATAATATTTTCATTCTCAAGTTTGTTTTAAGTTGAATTTTACTTCTAGTTTTTTCCAGAAAAAAATCTTTCACGATAGCGTCGTCATTTTCCGATTTTTTTAATTTTTACTATTGTTCACCAAAGTAAGATGCAAGAGCCACTCAATGTAGAGGGTTACTAAATGAGATTGTTGCAAGAGCGTATTGAGAGGGCACAAACAGTGTATATGGATGAGGATATGTTTGGTTGACCCTAGATTTGAAGAGGTTTAGATTGAAGTGATCGATTTCTGGATCGATCAATTTCTGAGATCTGAACCAAGGAATGTAGTTCACCTGAAACAATGCAACTATGAAGATGGTTGGATTGATTTGTTTTACGGTTTTCAAAAATATAAAATATAACTTTTATATTAGAGAAAATAATGAATTTACTGATACAAGTCCATAGCTTGGGAAAGAAGTGGTGGATTCATACCTTTACCAATGGCTATTTGCTTGTATGTGAATATAACAAACCCGATTGGAATGGAAACTCGATACTACGATTTCCAATTCAGAGCCGTTATCCATTACACCAGCTGCACATCCAAGCTTACAGCATCTGATATTGATTTTACTGATACAAGTCAGTAGCTGGAGAGAGAATAGGTGGATTCATATATTTTCCAAGGGAATTTGCTTGTAAGTGAATATAACGCACCTGACTGGAATTGAAACTCGGTTCTGCGATTTCTAATTCTGAGCCGTTATCCACTACACCAGCCGCACATCCAAGTTTACAGCACCTGGTAATGCTAAGTGGTCACCCATCTAGTTACTGACAGGATCAACGTTGCTTAACTTCGGGGATCCTATGGGAACCGATATTTCAATGTGGTATAACTGTAAGTCGGGGCATATAATAATCTTTAGAAAATGTAACATGATTTAGTTGTGTAAATCAGCATTGAAACAAAACGTTCTATGATTGAGTATGATTACCACAGACACTTCCAACAGACTTGGAACCAGGCAGGAGTGAAGATTATGTTTTAATTAGGAAAAACAGTCCAAGAAACACGTGTGAGTTGAGATGAAAAGATAACGGCAGTAAGTTACTTCAGTAATCACCGAAGCTGAAGAATTAGATTTTGTCTCTATAAATATATACGAGGGTGGTCTGAAAAGTTCCTAGACTGACTATGAAGGAATGATTCTACAGTTGTGAAATCTTGCATGCATTAATTTCAACTTTTCTTATTAATAGCTGCAGCATTTATTTCCAAGTAAACTGACATCTGACTGTTGGTCAAAAAACGTCATCAACAGCAGATATAACGTTATCACCACTGCCATACAGGTTCCCAGCCAAGTGATTTCCTATTGGGGAATAGAAGAATTCAGAGTGTGATTATCCCGTTCAAAGCCACAGTCACGCCGCACATTAGTCATTGAAACCAAGGCCTTGTGTGCTGGAACATTGTCCTGATGAAACAAGACCCCTTTCGTCAGTTTCCCCGGGCGTTTAATTTTGATAACCTACCGTAACTGTTTCGACATTGTTGCCCTTTTGCAGATAAACACAATGTCTTTTGCATCCGAAAAAACTAAAGCCATAACGTTCCTTGCTAATAAAACGACCTTGACCTTCTTTGGAGCAGATGAGGAGGAGTATTTCCACTGCATGGATTGTCTCTTTGTCTCTGGCTCAAAGTGATGAATCCAACACTCATCCTGGGTTAGGAAATGCTCAAGGAAACCAGCTGGATCTGCCTCAAACAATGTCAGATTTTCCTGTGATGTGATCACTTTTCATCAGGTGTCAGAAGACGTAGCACCCACCGAGGAGTTCATTGTGTAGAATATTCTCAACTCTCTCATGAGATATGCTAACAAGATTGGTTATTTCATTTATTGTTAATCGCCTATTGTTAATCATATGGTAAACAGGTACAATGTTTTTTCTCTATGGTGGCAGTTGCAGCACGTTCAGATATTGTGTCATTTTCAAGACTCTCCTTTCCTCTCCTAAATTCAGCAGCCCACTTTTGCTCTGTTGATAAAGCTTGAACGCAATCTCTTAATGTAGTAACCATGTCAGTATGAATGTCCTTTTCAGTTTGCTAAGCCGATTTTTCTGTGGGTACTCTTTAACACCACGTTGCCAGACTTTGTCAATTTCCAAGAGAACTCGCTACTACTTACTTCTGAAATCTTGTTTGAACAGCCAGATATCAATTTAGCTGAAAAACCAAAAAATGTAGTTATTAATAAGAATCACTCACCGAGTCAGCCCATGAACTTTTCAGCCCACCCTCATATGTCGAATCTGCACTTCGGTGCTTATGTCACCCTTAGTTTTTTTTTTTTTAATAAACTATCTGTAGAATCAACACAAAACCACGTATGTGCTGAGTGGGATTTTTGTAGCACCCCTCACTGACTTAGAAACTTTACAACACCCCTCACTAATTTAGAACCGTTTATCCAGCTTTGATTACAAGTAATGGGTAACTAAATAAGTTTGTCCTATTTTTGTCATTCGATGGCAGTAGGAGTGTTTAGCCTGAACTCATTTCGTTCAAGATTGCATACATTAATCTAATAAATGTTATTGTTAGATTAATTATTATTTCATATATATATATATATATATATATATATATGTGTGTGTGTATGTGTGTGTGTATGTGCATTAAACTTAAATTAAATAATTTTCTAAAAAATTAATTGACGTTGTTTAAAATCCGACATTATTTCTTATTACTATAAACGTTATATTTAGAGGATGCGCGTGCTTAAATAGACATCCTGTGTTTTCCGAACAGTTTCTTACAGTATTTCAAGCAGATATCAATTTACCTGAAAAACCAAAAAATGTAGTTATTAATAAGAATCACTCACCGAGTCAGCCCATGAACTTTTCAGCCCACCCTCATATGTCGAATCTGCACTTCGGTGCTTATGTCACCCTTAATTTTTTTTAGTTGACGTGTACTCGCTTGGGAAATGGAAAGTCTTCTTAATAAACAATTTTGTCTTTTTGGCTGGCATTGAGCCTGTGTCCTCCTTAAATTGGGGATATCAGCTTCAAGCTAGGCGTTATTTAGACTACTTTTTTTTTTTTAAGAAATACAACTCTGCCCTTGGAATCTTTCGAAACCTATAACCTATAGCTTTATTTTTGTATCCGAAATTTCTAAGGATTTTTTATTTATAAACCGACATTCCTTCTTATCTTTTATCTCACTAAATATAACGTTTATCATATCATTATCTATCTATCTATCTATCTATCTATCTATCTATCTATCTATCTATCTATCTATCTATCTATCTGCCTGTGTGTGTGTGTGTTAAAATTACTTAATCTCTTTAAACAGTAGTCTTTTCGAGTTCAAAGAAAAATAATCGTTATTCGTGAAAACATGATATCCGATAATGTTTCCATTGTATTCTTTCTTTTAAGAAACAGAAGAATTAAACATTCCCATCATATATCGCTGTATTTGGTTTGGGTGTATATTGCCCTTGTGTAATGATTAAAAGAAAATGCACAGAGTGATGATAAATACAAAATAAACTTTATATAATACAATATAATAATGCAGAATTATAAGGTGAATGTTGAAGTTCCAAGACTTCAGAGAGAGAGAGAGAGAGAGAGAGAGAGAGAGAGAGAGAGTGTGTGTGTGTGTGTGTGTGTGTGTGTGTGTGTGTGTGTGTGTGTGTGTGTGTGTGTGTCCGGGAGGAAGTAAACATATATATATATATGTATGTGTGTATGTATTCAGCTGTAGTAGCTTCCTGCTTAACCATGTGGGTGAAGAAAGGTATATAGTTTTCGAAATGTAACAGATCAGTTTTGCAGTCTAATGTCCCCAGCGAGTCGCGCAAAATATCGTATTTTACGTATGTTACGATGACCGTAGCATTAGAGAATGTGCAAAATGAATTAATCGATTCTGGTTTAGGCTAATTTTCTGTTTCATTATACACATCTCCAAAGATTCGCTTCGAAAGTGTTGCTTTGATTTCCATTGGCACATTGCCTTATATCCTGGTCGTGAAAGCTATCCGATTGATTGGGCGAAATATGGCTGTGTGGCCTTGTGATTTTGAATATACATCTATTTTTAGAGATGGTGAAATGTTGGTCTCCCTGTTATTATGTGTTTATTTTTTATTTATTTATTTTTCTATCGCTACACGATAACCGTTAATATTTCGTCGTTATTATCTCAAATTTATGTTGATTCAACTCTATCTGGGAATGACTGCAAAACACTTGCCCCTCTCTAATTTATAGACAGAAGCACATAAATGCATGCTGGGATATTTTCCTAGCCATTAAAATAGGCCGTTTCTCAGTTTCATCTGACTCAGTCCCGATCTTTCTAGTTTTGAAGACAAAACGCTACGTTCACTTTTGTTTGTCAAATCCAATTCTTAGTTTGTTAACTTTTTGCCATATTACTGTTGCTTTGCCGTATTACTGTGGATTTGCTTTGTGTTATGGTTCGGTTCCTTGTACCACGGTGATAGTCCAAGGTAGAACCAATAAAGAAGAACTCGAATACGGACATGGAATAACACAGATATATTACAAACAGGAATATATACAGAGAAGTAGAAAAGTGTTAGTACGAACAATCAGGTTTAGTAGTAATTGTCTGAACGTGACTCTGTTTCGGTCTGCCTCTGACTCGACTGACTGACTCCTGACGGACTTTACTCCAGACTTCAGACGGAACTCGCTGCTTCCTCTAGAGGCGCAGTATTTATTACGTATGGAATAGTCCATTATGTTATTATGGGTAACGTCCCATAACACTTTGCATATACTGTTTGCTTGCTTTATATTATTTTTCGCCCTGTTCTTTTCTTTTTATTGCAAACTTTGTCAATTCTGTTTGTTGAACAGTTCTGTTACTTATTTTGCATTTTACCATGGTTACTCACTCTTGGCAGGACACGTTGTTAATTACCATAATTTGACCAGTAAAAATATAGTGACAGTTAATAATCCAATATATAATTCATTAGAAAAACATTACACTGCATCATCCAGCTTTCACCGCTGTTTAAATTTGATTGCTAACACTTCTAGAGTTTTTTCCTCACTTTCTTTTCCTTTCTTATTTATTTCAAATGATATCCCACTAGATGTTCTTCTTGTATAAGGCTCTGCCAATTTGAGAAAAAAATGACAATTAACAATTCTTATTGATAAGCTTAACACATGATGTTTTTTTGTACGAGATGTTCTAGTTTGAAGGGTCTGTCTCACAAGATAGATGTCAGTATTCTTATTCTTTGTGCGTGGGTGTGTGCGATCCCTGAAGTTTATTAAAACCTTACAGACTGATGCCACAAAAATCAAAACAAAACGCCTAACCAAATTACAAAAACATATCATTGAACACTTCCAAAAGCAGGAACTAAAAGAATAGACAGCTAGTGTAATTAGAATAGAAAATAATGATATAACCATATAGATGTTAACGTTCCATACTAACAAAAACAAAAAATTTAGAAGGAAATTCTTATCAATACAAGAAAGAATGAGAATAGAGGATCTGAGATGTCTGTTTTCCCGAAAAAAACTATTTTATAAAAGTCAACCAAACACTAACTCTAAATGTTTTGTTAATGAATGTCGAATCTTTCGACTAATTTCACCATTACTATTACCGTTAAGTAGTTCTGGTTCACGAAAACACTTTATTATACAGGATGCGATAGGTAAATTGTCGCCATTTTGTATTTTTAATTTCGCGCATGCGTGTTGCTTATTTTTTTGATTTTGTCTCCTGCACAATATAATAGGGTCAGTTGGGCAACTTCTGTGAGAAAAAATGCACCATGGCGCAATTCACTCCGCCAGAAATTTGGAAACGGCATGC